TGTTAAGCTCATTTTGAATAGGCCTATGCATATGAAAATAGACAGTAAGATAATAGAAAAGAGTGTTTTTTTCAGATAAAAATACTTTTACATAATTTTAATAGAAACATCAAGAAAAAGTATAATGTGAACTAGGAGAAGAATTAAATCCTAATTACATTATAGTTACTGTAAAATACAGTTTTAGCAAAATGTTTTGAAGTTAGACTAATTGTTTCTTTAAAAAGTTCTGTTACTGATGAAACACATGCTAAAATAATTCAAAAATATGTTATTCTTACCTTATAGAAGTATTTTTCTTGTAGTAATAAAGTCTTTTAAAAAGATAATATTATATCACATTATTTAAAAGTTGTTAATGCTACTTATAAAAATACTAAAATTGTGATGCTTTTATAATCTACTCAGAATTCATACTTAAACCTAATAAAAAATCTCTGTGCAAAAATAAAAATAATAATTCAATATCATACTTCCTTACTATCTAATATCTGAGAGCTTAAAAAATATGTTAAAGGTTCCTAAAAGGACATTCCTTTGAAATATGATAAAAAATTGATTAATAGTATGCTATAGAGGATCAAAGCAATTATTATTATAAATAATAATAGAATTAAATATTAGTATCAGAATTTTTTTTGTAAAAATTAATAAATGATAAAAAAATGAATATACTTTACCTTATTTTATTTTCAATATATATTTTTTTGTATAATTTTTTTTATTGAAAAGTGTTCATATAATTTTGATCATTACTTATAAAATCTAATTGCTCAGTTAATAAAATAAAATTATTTAAGAATATTTAAAAAATGCTTAATTTTGAGCAGAAATATATTAATAATGAAAAAATAAAAATCTTTTATATTATATATCAAAAGATAAAAATTATTTTAAAAAAATATCTTTAGAAATTATTTGAATCTAAAAGTAATATTAAATTAAATTTTAATGTGATTTCAAATAGTAAAAATTGTATTAAAATATTAGGTATTAAAAATTATTTAAATAGTAATAAGAATATTATCTAGTAATATTTATTAGTAAATAGAAATTTATTTAATAATTCATTAGAATCTCCAATTTAAATTTCAATTTTGTTATAATAAAATTTTTCTATTAATTTTTTGATTTATTAATAATATATTATAAAATATATTAATAACTTATATTACAGGTCATTTAACTTCTAAAACATCTATTAACTAATAATAAGTTATCAAAGTTATTTAGATTATTAAAAGTCAGTAGTTAATACTAGTATAAAAGATAAATATCACAATTAAAAAAATAATACAATTAAATTAGTAATTTATAATAAATTAAGTTATAACTCATTGAAATTTAAAAGTAATTTTGAAAACTAACTTTAACTAATAATTTAAGTTATTTGTTATATTTAAATCAATTTAGAATAATTATAATCTAATTTAAGCTGATTACCGTAAATAATTAACTAAAATACCCTTATAGTATAATACTCTTCCCATAAATCTGATTCAAAAGATTTGGGTATTATATATAAGGACTTCAGAAAAAAAGTTGCGAAAATTTATATAATACTTAAAGATATTATATACTAATTGTTTTTTGTATAGCATTTATATAAATCATAAAAAATATCAAAATTTATTATAAAATCCAAAATAAAAAGTACATTAAATTAATCTATAAATTATATTTATTATCATAATCTATTTTTTGTTTTTCATATTCATTTATATCATCTGTATCACTATTATAACTATCTTCTTCTTCATTATTACTTTGATTTTCTTCATCATCAATATGAATTAATTCAGGTTTTTTTTTACTTTTTTTCTTTTGCAAACTATTATAATCAAATACCAAATCATCTTTACTACTATCTCTAATAATAGAAATACCATAACATTTAAATGATTTTTGAATCAAATTAATATCAATATTATTTCATGATCTTTTTATTCAACTAGCAATATTAGTATATAAAGGTTTTGATTCTTCCAAAAAGTATTAATTCATGAACCTCAAAACTCATTCAATAATTGTAATATTAATGTAGATTTGCTTTAAAACTTTTGATAATTGCTACATCTAATGATTGTAATTTACTTGTAAGCCTATCAGAAATAATTGCAATATTTGTATATTTTTCATTAAACCTATTTTTTACTGAATCCACAAAATGTCTTTGAAAGAATCTAAAATTAGTAAAGATTTTAGATTATTTAATAATTTCTTTAAGTTTATACATTTTTAATCTATTAGAGTATTTCTTGTTCATTATACCATCCTTTATCATTTATACGAATAAAAATTTCTTCAGTAAATGATTCTCTTAAAATATTTTTAAGTTTAAAAATATAAACTGCTAGTAATTTTGTATCATCAGCCATACATCTTAAAATAACTGTGAAGTTTAACTTTTCGTGACCTATTATTTGTATATTAATAATTGAAATACCATGATAATCTAAAGTAGTTGAATAAGGTAAATCAAATGTAACAAAAGTTTCATTTATATTATTAATGTATTTTAATGTATAGTCATATCAAATACACCTATATAAAATAAAAGCTAAAAAGTTTTGCTACTTTTCTAAAAGATTTACAAGAAGATATTAAGTAATATAAGTTCTTCTTCTTATAGCAAAATTGTATCTTTTAATAAATCTCTCTAATTATACTTTCAAAAATTTAAATTCTTTAATATCTGCATAAAAATCTATCCATTTTTTTTCATTAGCAAATAATTTTACTTTTTTAACTAGATCAATTATCTATAAAAAGCTCTTTTTCAAGTTCTGAAAAAGCAGATTTTTGCCTTTATATAATTTTTGAATATATAGTGCTGCATTTTTAAGTTTAGTTTTTTGATTTATCTAGTCTCAAACTTACTTTAGTTTTATTTGAAATTATTTTGTAATTAAACGCTTACTTTCACATTATTCTGCATGTTTTATTACAAGTAACTTTTTTCTAGCATACCATTATCTTCTTTGTTTTATTATTACTTTTGTTTTTTTATTAGCAGATTTATTTCAGTGAATAACTATATCAAAAAAAATGAAAAGAGAAAGATAAAATAACAAAAGTTAAAACATGAAATGAAAAAAAGAATGTAAAATACACTTTATGATATATCATTTTGGTTATAAATTATCAGTGATAAATGATAAAATTATTGTAAATTCTTAAATTACATTTAAAAAAAATTTTATTTAAAAAAAAAAAATTTTTGTTTAAAAAAATTTTTTAAAAAACTAAGTCATGCTATATGCATGCAAATATTTAAACTTTTTATTGGTTAATTTAATTTTAAATAGTAGACCTTATATGATATAGTATAGTACCCTTCTCTTTAGACCAAAGTACTCTCTATAGTATAATACACGAATTAGTAAAATATTTAGATACTTTAGTTAATCGTTTATAGTATACTATTATAATATAATAATTATTTATTATATTATAATCAGTTGATTTATTTATTTATTTATTTATAATACTTAAAATATATACTTTCTTACAAAAAATATCTAATCATCAACCTTTTTAATGTTTTATGCTAATACCTTATTAGCTATAAATACTAGGATGATAATTTATAATTTTATATTAATTTCTGAGATTTAATAAATATTTCAAATATAATTTGATATTTGATTAATAAGTCCAATTTTATACAAATCAATAATTTATATCTGTAACTAATATTAAGTAAAATTTTAACTATAAATATAATTATAATCAAATTAGCTATAATAAAACATTTTATATATACAATTAACTTATATTAAGAGAATTAATATATCAAATTTCATAAAGATTCAATCAGTAGTTGCTGAGAAATTGACTTTTAAAGGTTGGCAATTTACATATAAAATTATCAAAATTAATTTTTTTATATATAAATAGCTAATATTTGAAGTTTAATATCTTAACAACCACTAATCAGATCTTTATGAAATTTGATATACTAGTTTTCTTAAAGTAAAGCTTTATATATAATATGGATTTTATTATAGCTAACTTAGTTAAAATTTTGTTTAATGATCAAAAATTTACTAAGTGTTAGTTATGGATGTAGATTACTGATTTTTATAAAACTAGACTTATTAATTGAATATCAAATTATGTTTGAAATATTTATTAAACTCTAAAAATTAATATATAATTATAATCATTATTCTAATATTTATAGCTAATAAGATATTAGTATAAAATATCAAAAAAATTGGATGGTCAGATATTTTTAAAGGGGAGTATATATAAATATAATAAATAGTTAACTAAAGTATCTAAATATTTTACAAATCCATAAAATTTGAATGATACTATATTATAGAAGATATTTTGTTTAAGAAAAAGAATATTATACTAAATTATATAAAGTTTATCATTTGAAATTCCATTAATTAATAAGAAGCTTAAATATTTATATGCATATAGTGGCTTTTTCTTAAATATTAAAAAAAATTTCTAAATAAAAATAAAAGTTTTTTAATTTTTTTTAATTTTTATAAAAAAGACAATGATATATTAAAAAAGGTTATTTATAATAAAATATATAGAATAATGTAAAAGTAATATTTAACTACAAGAAGGTTTTATTTATGTATTAAACTTATAAAAAAAATATTAATAACGATAACTTTTCGTATTTAATATATAATTTATTTATGATTATTATTATATAAAATTCTGAATCATTTAATTCTTAAACTTTAAGAACTAACTTTAATACTCATTTTGATTTGTAAAAAAATAATCTTTATTTTATATTATTTTTTACTTTATTAAATTAGTTTGTAACATTAAATTTTAAATAGGAATTTCGATTATTAATGAATCGAGTGATAAAGAAAATTATTTAGGAAGAACAAAGTTTTTGATTCTGTTGCTTAATACCCCCTCACATGATAATTAAATATTCAGATAAAAGTTGCACGGTTTTGAAATTTTGTTGACGTCTATCGGTTTGTCGCAGTATATAAATAAATTAATTAAATCGATTATTAAACTTTTCTGTTGGGAATCATGGCTTTTGGTAATTCATCTGGTAATTCACCACTAGATATAACACCTTTGCAAAGATGCATAGCTACAGCAAATTGGTCTGAATCCATGTATCCATCGCTATCCCAGTCAGCCAATCCCCAAATTTTTGCAAGTATATCCTGTGATAATCCCGTCTTTATCAAAACAGGTCTGATAGAAGAACCAGGAACTTTACCATCAATAGGACGCAAAGAGTTGAATTGTGAAATGATCGAAGATTTATCAACCGAAGAAAATTCCCAATAATTAGGAGGAAGGTCGGATCGATCATAATAATTTGGTTCAGAATTTCCGAACGGATTACGCTCAGCATGAGATAACATTCTGTTTCCTGGAGGAAATTTGGTAATTAATTTTGGCAGATCAGCAGAAAGTGCCTAATTATTATCAAAATTTCAAATAAATAAGCAAGTTAAATAAATAAGTAAATTTAAATATAAAAGTCACATACATCTTCCACTTTTTCCAGTATTTGGGGCTTCAAACTATGGAACTTATCAAATTTGTAAATTCCTAAACCTCGTTTAAACTTTTCCACGTTTGGGAAATCTCCAGGAGCTAATTGATGACGTTGTTGTATCTTTATAAATTCCTTATCTAATCCATTAATGAGTTCATTCTGTTTAGACTGTTTACCAAACATTGCGGGCATTTCCTTTTTCAAATGTCCAATTATATAAGCATGTACCTATTATAATTTTCTATTTAAATAAATGATATTTAAATAATCATAAAAATGCTCAAAATAAAATGATCAAAAGCTTACCTTTGCTAGTCTCGCTCTTTTGACAATTTCGTTTATTTTTCTAACAGTAGCATTACGAGGCAGTTCTCGTAAACTATCGAGCAGATCCTTTTGCTCTGATTCAATTAGCGTTCGACAATCCTCAAATACATTTAGAGGTTTCTCAAGCCAAAATGAACCAAGGAATACTCTCATTACTTCAGGTGTTTGAACAACTCTACCTAATGACCACATAAGCGCTCCGTAGACCCGCATTAATTGCTGTCCATCTACCATGTCTGTTTTGTTTAGTAAAACTCTAACTTTCTCTTCTTGACCCCTCAATGAATGAATTGCCATCCTGAATTCATTAGATATATCTAATTTATGAGAGTCGAAAAGTAATAATATCAGATCAGCTCGCTCTGCAAACCACTCAATGATGGCCGTAAAATCATAACCACGATCGAGTCGTTGTTTATCGCCGGAAAGAATTCCGGGAGTGTCAATAATAGTCATTTTCTCCAATACATTAGAAGAAAGTTGTGAAACCTGTTAATATAAGAAATAATGGATATACTGATAAAGATATATTGTTATAATATATTTATCTATATAGATGTGAAAAAAAAAAGACTTACCTGAAACCTAGATAAAAATGTTTGACCAAATTTATTTAGTCCTCGAAATGGTAATTGAGCGTCTACAGCTGCAGCATTACCTGGGATGACCTGTAAATAGTTATGCATGTTATTGAAAAGAATTAGTTTATAAAAAAGGTAAATAAAATTGCTACTAACTCGATCTTCAACACCATTCATAACTGCAACGAATCGATCCGTCTAAATTTCAATAAAAATGTGGAGTAAGTGTATATGGCCATTGTTGATTACATAAAATCAATTTTTAGGCTACAATTTGTAAGAATAATGAACATGGATTTATTATTATTGGATAAAATTTATTTAAACTCACTGTTGGCTCTACACCGACATGGCTTCCTAGGAAATAAAAAGAACAGTAAATTAAGGTTTTGCTTTTTTAATATCTCAAAAAGACAAAAAGAATTAATATTAAACATACCGGGATATTCTCTATCTAATAAATATTTAATAAAGGTGGTTTTTCCTGTTGAGTATTGTCCTATCAAAAGGACAATTGGCTTGGCCTCAATGTCGCTATCAGTCAAAGGTGGCGAATGAAATCCTTCAAAATTATAAGTAGTTTCTATTGGTTTGATTTTGTTACTATAGATTTTTTTTAAACCCTCAATTATACTAGCATAAGTGTCGTCTCGAAAGGATGAAATAGAGCCACCTTGTTGTGAACGGAAAGTTGAAGTTGGTGAAGTTGATCCTGTTCTATTCCATGATTCAGATTTTTTATCCATTGTCACATTTTATTTTTATTATTGTGAAGTAACTTAAATATTGATTCAGTTAAACATGTACAGTCACGTCATAAAGTAACGCAACAATTGAATATAGTAAAATATAGTAAACATTTATTTGTTTATATTCGCCATATAGTTAATTTAAGGAAGAATGGATATTTTTAAACTTAGCCAATAGTTTATTGCCGTTTTGCCGTTTTCAGAAATATTGATAATATGAAAATGTTGATCATTTTGCACATACGTCGAATACAAACTAAATACAACACGTTATATTGTGATGGATACTTTATCAACCATAAGAATAGAGAAAGTCCCTAATTATTCAATATGGAACCTTATCAATCACATTCAATTATCACTTCATCTCATCATTAATTTCATCAAAGTCAAATTACATATGGGTATTATTCTCAATGATATTGCTGATTTTCTTACTAAACAAGGTTGCAGCTCCTCCTTCTTTAGTTAATTATGACTCATATACCCTCTTTTTCAACTATCAAGATGTTCTTATAAAAGGTTCAGTTCATAATTTTTTTAAAGAATTTTTTTCTGCCCAAACTTTTGATTGATTCTTAAATCTTAATAGAAATTCAAAGTTATGATCAGAAATTCATCAATTAATTGGATTATTATTTGGTCTCTATTTTCATCAAATACATTAGCTTTATCAACCTCTTTTGCCTTCTATTGTATCAAAACATTCATCATGAAAATTTTGTCAATGAACTTCCTATTTTCACATATATAAAACAACTCCATTCTAACCTTTATACCAAATGGTATTATATTAGATATTATATTAAAAAATAAAACACATTTACACTTTTAGACTTGCAATGCATTTTCTTTAAAAATGAATAAAATCATTTTTAATATCAAAGATTTTGCTAATAAACTTATTCTGAAAAATAATAATTCTTATATTCTTTTATTTCTTTCTAATTTTCTTGACCTCTTCGATAAAGTCTTTAGCATTTTTTTTAATTACAATAATAGATATTATAATATTATCAGATCTCACATTTTATCTTAAATGGTTTTATAATATATTAAATTATTAGAAGTAAACGCTTGACCATTTCTATAATAATCAAGTAAACGCTTAACTATTTTTATTATGATCAAAATATGTTTATTTTTCTTTAACAAAATATATTACAATATTTGAAAATACAGATGCAATTTACTGATTGAAAAAGAACAATCTAAAAATATAACTAAAAAATAAATGCTTACATAATACAAATAAGTTTTGGATCATTAACTTACTCCTAATGAGTTTATACTTAAGAACTTTAAATACACTTGATAACTTGATAAATAAATATAATAACAAATTTTTAAATTTTTAAATGAAGTATTAATTTTTCTTTTTTTTTTTATGATATCAATAGTCCTTAGTTATATAATTAGTAGGTTTGTTAAAGGAAAAAGATAATAATAAGTCAATTTATAGGTTTGTAATATAACTATAAAGGATAGTTATTATTTAGAATAAATTTATTTTTTAATTTGTAATTTTAATTTATTAATTAATAAAGTAACTAATAATATCACATTATTAAAAAATTTTCATAAATGCGTAATTCAATTTTATTATTTTATAAATTAATACTATTAAGTTTATATTTTAAGATTAAATAAAATAATATAGATAATTTGAATTATATATTTTATATATGAAATAAAACATTAAAGCTTTAGGTTAATCTGAAATTATAACTGAAATTTAAGAAAAGAACTAAAATATTTCATCATGTATTATTAAATTAATACCATTATTTAATATTAAAATAGGATTTTAAGGAGTTATGAAAAGCTTTTAAACCTATTTTCTTAAATTTATTAGATTTTTTATCAGAATTATTACTTGCTAATAAAATTAGTAAATATTCTAATAATTATTTTATATTAGATTAGTATTTAAAATTTAATTTTTTTTAGTTGTGAATTCACAACTAAAAAGTAGCTTAATATGAATTATAAAATTTGATTGCATATTATACTTCTAAATTTAATAATATAGTTGCAGTAATTATAAAATATTTATGGAATTATAAAAATAAAAATTTATATTGTAAATTTATAAATTATTATTATATTTCAAAACTTTTATTAAATTTATTAAATTTATATTAAAAATTTATAAATTATTTATAAATTCTTTTTGAAAGTTTTTGTCAAATATTAAATACCTTTTTAAAATCAAAACTTTAAAACTAAACCTATTTATAACAATTATAAATAAAAATTTAATACTTTTATAGATGCCTGTCGAAATTTCTTCAAAATAATTTCATCATACTCTTTTCTATGTTTTTAATATAATTTTAACAGTTTCAGCTTTTGTTGTATTAAATGGATTTCATCATATCCCTTATTATGATTTTAATATAGTTTTGTTTAAGTTTTAACTATTATTAAGGGGTTTCGTCCCTCATCTATAAATATCTTCAATTTATTTAATTATACATTTTTGTTTTAATAAAGTTTTATTAAGAAAAACTCTTTTAACATTACTATTTAAAAGTGATACAATTAATGAATAATAGATATTAAAGTATTAAAAATTAAGAATTCATAATAATTCACTTCTATCTACAGTCAAGACTGAATATAATAATTAAAGATGGCGCTTCAATTAGTTGCAACAGGTGACAAATAAGCATCACAATGTTGCAACAAATTGCAACATTATTAA